CCAAAACAACCGCAGAAATTATGCTTGGTACCTTTCAATACACAATCACTCTGCTAATATTAACAATATCTGTAGGGGTTTTTATATTTAACAAGTTCAAAATCTCTTCTGGCTGAAAGTCTTCATGTTATCTTTGATGTCATAATCCTTGCGATATCATGTGCTCGTGATCAAGTAAATTTGATCAAAAGTGATCATCCGTTGCCAAGTTGTCGAATTAAACTGAATCTCGAATTATTTTTGATGATATAGATCGAATCTTTACGCATGACGATGGTAAGGGACTTGGTTATGGCGAGGACAGCGTATTGAATGATAATCTACCGGTTCAGATCGGATTTACAGTTATCTTCGAGAAAATGAATTCAGTCGAAATGGTAATCATTTTTCGTCACTCTGTTTTTCAATGATATCTGGAACAAGACCTTAGCAATCCATAACTTCTTCGTTTATTGACAAATTGAAGAAGAATCAACCAATTTGTTCAAAATTTTTTTCAGCCGAAGCATTTCGCCTATCACACTCCACTCGCTCAAATGGCCATTCAATCTCTGCTCTACAAACCTGTCATATTCACCGCTGAAAGAGGTTGCTCACCATCAGCGATCAGCATACTGAACATTTTTTAATGCATGCGAATATGTGAATTCTGGATGACTACGGCCAAAAGTCATAACCTACATGGGTATATCGTGGAGAATCTTGAAATTATACGAAGAAGCCACCAAATTTAATCAATGCCAAACCACTTTGCGGCTCAGCAATGAATCCATAGGTTTGAGAGATGTATGAGCGTATCAGCTGTTCTCGGCGATTGATTCATCTCAATTTCATTCAGAAAAGTCCACAACTGAAATTTCGAGTGACCAAAAAGTCGCCTCATTGTCATTCCCTTGCGATCTACAACTGATCACGTGCCGACCGCTCAGGAGGAACATGATCACAGATCGATTACTGATCTTGCATCGGCCTGGGATGGACTGCAATGGCAATGAGAACGTAACATGCTCTTTCGGTGATTTCACGGTTAGTGATCTGCACTAATGTATTCACTGTCACAACGACTTCAGTCTCATGAGAAGCTTGAGACCAGAATGTAAATTTTTGCTGAAATCGTTGAGAAATCAATCAATTTGACTTGAAGAATGTGACGTGAGAAATCAATCAGAAATGAATCAAATAAATCAGAAATCGAATCATTGTAGTTCAGCGACAACAAATACCAGGACTTGTTCATAGCATGCTCTGATGAATAATTCTTAGATTGTTATTAGCATTGTTCCTTTCAGCGAGCTGTCAAGAACTATTTACGGCGGATTGGCGCAACCAAACTGCAACAGACAACATTGAATGGTGTCGATAAAATTGGTGATTCCATCAACGTCAATAGTGTTCGAATTGAAATTGAGCCTATGGACTTCCTAAGTTTCATCGTAACGATTGCATGAAACCTGAGAGTTGCTTGCTTGCTCAACATTATGAATCAATTACCATAGCACCTCATTCCGTTCTCACTGATTCAGCGAACACGGTTTTCGTTCATATACGCGATTGACTAATTTGGGTCCAAGGAACAATTTCGCAATCTTTATTTATACTTCTACTCTTATCATTCCATACATTCACTGATGATCTAGTCTAAGAATTTTTTTAAAAATCTGCTCTAAAATCTATTCTTACATTGTTTTTCTCCATTCACTGTTT